CAATATATCAGTACCCAGACCTATCAATATATCAGTACCCAGACCTATCAATATATCAGTACCCAGACCTATCAATATATCAGTACCCAGACCTATCAGTATATCAGTACCCAGACCTATCAATATATCAGTACCCAGACCTATCAATATATCAGTACCCAGACCTATCAATATATCGGTACCCAGACCTATCAATATATCAGTACCTGGACCTATCAATATATCAGTACCCAGACCTATCAGTACCCAGACCTATCAATATATCAATATCAATATATCAGTACCCAGACCTATCAATATATCAATATCAATATATCAGTACCCAGACCTATCAATATATCAGTACCCAGACCTATCAATATATCAGTACCCAGACCTATATATCAGTACAGACCTATCAGACCTATCAATATATCAGTACCCAGACCTATCAATATATCTGTACCCAGACCTATCAATATATCATTACCTGGACCTATCAATATATCAGTACCCAGACCTATCAGTATATCAGACCTATCAATATATCAGTACCAGACCTATCAATATATCAGTACCCAGACCTATCAATATATCAGTACCCAGACCTATCAATATATCAGTAGACCTATCAATATATCCAGACCTATCAATATATCAGTACCAGACCTATCAATATATCAGTATCACAGACCTATCACAGACCTATCAATATATCAGTACCCAGACCTATCAATATATACCCAGACCTATCAGTACACAGACCTATCAATATATCAGTACCCAGACCTATCAATATATCAGTACCCAGACCTATCAATATATCAGTACACAGACCTATCAATATATCAGTACCCAGACCTATCAATATATCAGTACCCAGACCTATCAATATATCAGTACCCAGACCTATCAATATATCAGTACACAGACCTATCAGTACCCAGACCTATCAATATATCAGTACCCAGACCTATCAATATATCAGTACCCAGACCTATCAATATATCAGTACACAGACCTATCAATATATCAGTACACAGACCTATCAATATATCAGTACACAGACCTATCAGTACCCAGACCTATCAATATATCAGTACACAGACCTATCAATATATCAGTACACAGACCTATCAATATATCAGTACCCAGACCTATCAATATATCAGTACACAGACCTATCAATATATCAGTACCCAGACCTATCAATATATCAGTACCCAGACCTATCAATATATCAGTACCCAGACCTATCAATATATCAGTACCCAGACCTATCAATATATCAGTACCCAGACCTATCAATATATCAGTACCCAGACCTATCAATATATCAGTACCCAGACCTATCAATATATCAGTACCCAGACCTATCAATATATCAGTACCCAGACCTATCAATATATCAGTACCCAGACCTATCAATATATCAGTACCCAGACCTATCAATATATCAGTACCCAGACCTATCAGTATATCAGTACCCAGACCTATCAATATATCAGTACCCAGACCTATCAGTATATCAGTACCTAGACCTGAGACCATTCATATTGAGGTTCTGAAAAGGTCAGTGGATTGATCTTGATGATAAAGTTATTGGGTATTTCCTTAACAAAAATAATACAGAAAGATTTCACCAAGGATATCACAGCTTAAACAAGAACATCAAAGAAGATGTAGTTAAATCTTTTAAAATGACCATCATTTGCAAAAACAATTAAACTGAAATTTCATCACCATACTTCAGTGTAGAGACCTAATATAATACAGCATACGAATAACTTAACTGAGGACATTAATTATATGTAAAAAGAAGGAAGAAAAATATCAGGACTATTCCCCGACTCGGACCTTGAAAAGTTGACTCGTCAGGTACCCATTTTGATTGTTATACTTACCATAACATTATTGTACTTTAGATTTTAAATTTCCCTTAAAGGGTTGGTCCGCCATCCTATTTATAATGCAATCCGTATACATTTATCTAACTAGAAGCTAGAACGATTGTAAAATATAGGAGGGTAATATTTTTTAAAATGTCAACATAACAAAGAAAGCCTGGAAAATAAAGGGATGTATCAGTTAGCCAAACTGCGTGCCCCCTCTAACAGGCACTCTGGATCCGCGCCTCGTGACAGCCATAAAAATCCAATTATTTTCGTCAATCTTCCATTTTTGAAATACTTCAGAGTTTTTTTTTTTAAAGGAAATCATGATATCAGGAGCAAGCCTTCAAAACAGCAACATGTAAAGCAGGCGTGTTACTATCTGGAAATGGAATATTAAATCAGGCAGTCGAACTTATCATTTGTTATACACTTTAATGGGAAGCTACCCTTGTTTTCGTTGAAGTGAAATATCAAGTGATGTAAGTCTGTCGTGACCTCGATACCCTCGTATGTTGGGTATATACGATGGGCATGGTTTTCTCTTTTAAATTCCAGTTCTTTCCGTGGTCTTTGTGACCTGTTTTAATTAACACTTTAATTAAATCAGTCTCCAATAAAAATAAAAATAAAAAACAAGTTAGAAATATCTGTTTAAACAAATCTATGGAACAATCATATTTTTATAGACAGAAGTAAGCAAGAAGTTAGAAAATATGATTACCAAAATGTTCTTTTACCACAACCAGTAAGAAAATAATGTGTGACGTATCGATACTACACAGCTATCTTCATCAGGCAATTGACAGGTGTGGAGCTTACAATGTATTTGCAGAGTATTGGTAGAACGTAGTATGACGAGATGGTGATAAGATTATATTGAAATCAAGCCGATTTGATCTTCCGTTCGTAAATTAGTTCATGGTAGCGAGATATATGTAATACTATGCCTTATATAGGGAGTCGTCCGCTGAAAGGCCGTAATAGTGGACGTAAACCAGTTAAATATCAAAATATCTATATATGAAGTGGAAAAGGGCGGCGTAAAGTTGTGAGGGTTCATCTAGATGAATTTTTTTACATTAAAACGGTACGACAGATACCAACAACATACTCATTTGTAGTCTCTTGTTACATAATGCTAGATCACGGACTTCGACATAAGTAATTAAATAATATCTTTACTTCCATCGTGTTGTATCAATAACCAGTTGACATCAAGATTTCCGTCACATGAAAAATATTCCCATTGTATCGAAAAGACCATCCAATTTCCATCTATACTCAAGTTTGCAAAATAAAGAAGTTCTCATTCTGAAAAAAAACTCTGCTTTTGTACATCCATTGGTTAGGTAGTACTGGTGTGTTTCTCGGGATCTTTTCACGTCTTATCGGGCGCAAAATCGATTTCTTAAGGTAAACAGTTTGTATTTTAATCAAAACAAAAAAATATCAATCTGAACACATTTCTCTGTCACAGCGTACCGTAAACTGCAGAGATTTAGAAATAAAAGACACTATCTTGTGGTGGAAGGGAAATAACTCGTATAACATACGATGTGGTTGTTATGGCGACGGGTAAACAGGTGTTCGTGTACCTGTTAAACGATATCGCACAACGTTATTTTTATCGACCAGGAAAAGCCTTGCCTGTAATTAACAAAGTATAACACAGCCATATCTCAAAAGATCCCAACGTAGTGTCCGAAAATCAATAAAGTATTGAAATCTTATCTCAGTTTTTCCTGCATCTGTGAATGTGGACAAAACCTTGTAGGACACGCACCTGCATGGTAACAGGTGCGTTCAGATTTTGATCACATTTCATCGAAGGTAATTCTAAAGATATTATTTTTTATTTGTATAGACTTGGCAGTTTTTCGTTTTAATTCTAGGTTTGTAGGTTTAAATTTTCGTTCAATGCGTTCTAGTCCGTTTTGCATGAATAGTTGTTTGATCTCTGTGTCCCTAAAGCTATAGAGATTTTAATGAGTATGCAAATACAAACAAGTCTCGTGCTGCTCTCGTTATAATAACGACATGGCGTTTTGACGTGTGTTTATTCGTAAAATTGTTGCCGAGGAAGTCAACATAAAGCAGGACAGTAAAACGGATAACTGAATTCGACAGGGAGGAATATAGGGGAAATAATTTGATCAGTGGATACGGCCTGTGTTTAGTCGGTTACAGGATATAAACATTGGTGACAGACATGTCTCTTACCACACATCCGGACGTCAACGTGAAATGGCGAGTGGATAAATACCCCGATACCCGTGGCTACGTCATCCAAACCAAATACTACCGGGGCGATATAGATACAGTACGTTGGTCAAATTTACAGGTGTAAGATTGGGAGTTACAGACGGCGTCGGGGGGAGCAAGATATGGGTGATGGTGTAACCTCTATGTACAGGTTTGGGAAGAGCGGGGGTCTCTTTTTCATTATCAAACTGGTAAATTTTGCGTGTAAATCTGTATACATGTACAATACACATAAATTACTAATAGAGAAGGTTGAGTCAGCTGTAGGTTTACAATAAATGTAGACAGAGAAGTTTTAGTGAGTAAGGAGAGACAGTTCTAAAGGTAAGTATTAAATAGTGAACTATATTAAGTAATCTACATTTAATATATGTCAATATCAATTTTATACATTTGTATATGACTAACACATGTATAAAGTTCAGTATAACATATACATATATATTTAATTTGTGTTTGCTTTACAGCAGTAAGATACCATTTAATACAATTATTTGTCAGGCCATAGATATATCCAGAACTGACAGTGTGGACTCGTCTTCTCACCAAGCTGAAATGCACTAGTAGTGTACAGATTTTAGACTAGCAGTTCTCAAGATAATAATTACTAGTATTGGTGCGCTGTATATCTAGAGTGAACAAAAGTGATGGAACTGTATTCCCTGATGTACAGGTGATGGGAGCACATTAAATACCTGTGGTATTTACCTGACTTTAAGCTCATACCTGTATAGTATTCTGCTGTACTCTCAAAGTCTTATTTGTCATCCTCGTAAACTAGGGAGATAGAGGCATAGTCTGCATTCATTATTAATCCTACTGAACGTAGGATTTGATACCAGTTCTCCTTGTATATTTTGTCAGGGTCTGGGTGATGTAATACATCATCGTACAGACGGCATTCCATACAGCAGGATGGACAGCGGTCAGCGGGGCAACCAGTACAGGCCGCTAAAGGTTCTCAATACACAGATTGTTAAGAAGGTGTTGGATACACTGAAGGGACATCATGTTATAGCTCGTGATGATGCTGATGGTCACTACTACCCAGGTAAGATCGGAATTCTCAAGTCTACTGTCACCTCACATTGACAGGTATCACAATAGTGGCATTTTCATATCAAAGAAATCTGATTGGTTTAGTGAAATTGAAATATGAATTAATTCAGCTTTCAATATCCTTCACCAGTTTTGCTGTAACAGAGCTTGATCATTTAATTCTTTCCCATATTTCCTTCCAGTTCCATTTATCTTTCATTAAGGAGACAGATTTTTTTTAAAATTTTGTAAATCAGTTCCTGTTTTGCTTAGATTTTTTTTTTTTCTTTATGAGTTGTGAGTGGAAATTGGGAAATTTCATGTCAGGTTCTAGTTAGGATTATCAGAAACACAATGTCAGACAAAATGTTCATTATTTATTCATTACTGGTGATGGTGAGATAGTGTAACAGGTATAAATCTTCAGTCTAACAAGTTTACCTGTACAATCAATACCGGAGAGGTTCTGCGGCAATCATGATGGGTATACATTAATGATAACAGGAGGTGCAGGTCTCCTCTAATTACATCTAATGACAGGTCATCATGTATTGTCACTAGGGCCAAATTGCAGGTGATTACCTCGTAGTGCTAATTACAGGTGAATCACAGGTAAACACTTCTCAAGTACCTAGTTAATTAAATTCTACTATGGCATCAGATTTTTCTTTTATATAATACACTCCTAGTACAGTTTATCATCATGTCATATTCCAGGATCTTGATGATGTTCTATACGTGAGATTGACCTATGTATATAGATATATTCTGGGTTTTATTTTCATCAATGTCCTGTTAAATAGTGTTAATCATTGGTTCTGATACATTTTACATCTTGTTGCTAAGTTGTTTATCAATGAATGTACATATGCCCCTTTCAGTAATTTAAGGATGTATGGTACAGCTGATCTTTCTTTAGTGCCTTCGTTCCAAAGAGTTCCACACTTACACATTTAAAATTGTGTATCAGTAACCAATCACAATCCAAACCTAAATTAAATATACATCAAAAAGCCGATACATTTTCTATAATCTTCTATATCTGTAATCTGTCATCATCCTCTTTCTGACAACTCATAAATTCCTGTCAACACTTGCCTTTAGCTTTAGATCTTTCGATCCGTTGGCATGAAAATACACAAGATGGTAACCATGTACTAAAATCAATTTAGCTACACTCTATTTAACACCATCTATCAGCAATGGTTTAGCAAAGCTATGGGCAGTCCAGTGTTTCTCCGATTGTAGCCAACTTGTTATAGAGCACTTGGAGAGAGAGGCTATAGCCACGGCCCCTGTAAAATGCGAGCCCAGTCTGTGGAAGCAGTATGTTGATGGCGTGTTGGAAAAAGAAAATGTCGGAGAACATTTAGAGGATTTACTGGGCCATGGTATTGCAGCAGCCATGAAACCTCACAAGGCTCTCTGAAATACCCGAGTCCATCCTCATAATAAAACACTCAAAGAGAGTGTCACAGAATGTGTATACAAAATGCATGAACTGTGATGCATCATATATCAAAGAAACAGGCAGGAGATTCAGGTTTTGACCCAATGAACATCAGAAAGACGTGAAATACCAAGAAGCAAAAAAAACATTAAGTAGATCAGAGCGAAAACATTTTCAGTCCCTGATCAATAAATCTGCACTTACAGATAATTCCACACAGCAAAATTATATCATTGACTTGGAAAATTCCAAAATAGTCAACAGGGAGAACAACCATTTCAGGCAGTCAGTTGAGAAAGCCATCTGGATATGCTGCAGTGGGCCACTACTATACAGGGATGATGGGGACCACTTTCCCACATCTATGACCAAGTGTTAAACAATTACCATCTTTTTGTGCATTTCTGTCGATTCCTTACCATCTCTTACACTATGTACATCAGTGCTAGTTTGCTCCACACTGGTCATTTGTCTGATAAAGATGACTGTGTTATCATCGAAATGTCACACTCTAACCTTCTACTGTTCCACTTTTACCCAAACATAGTTTGTCATTTGTTTAACTGGAAGGTAACTATCTATCATTATAAATGTTAATTTTACCTATCAGTATTGACCAATGGTCAGTAGCCAATATCTTCACTATTTTTATTAATTGCTCTAATAGCAATAGTCATTAGCTTTCAAACCTGTTTACTTTTTGAAGCCTTTTTTCAGGTGCTTGATTTGAAACTTTAATACATTCACTGTTTATGAATAACGGATTGGCCAAAGACACCAGTCACATTTAAGGTGGTCTTTGGTAATTTTTTCCATCAAGTTTAAAGTTCTATCTGATCTAACTATTTTCTGTGTTTTTCAACAGGAGTGGTGCTCAAGTGTCCAGATGCCAGACATGCTCTGGTGAAATTTGCAAACAAGGAAGAAAAGCTGATACCAACTCGAATGGTGATAGCAAGTAGTGGGGCCATATCTAGACCTATCCTTAGGGTAAGTACTGGGGCCATATCTAGACCTATCCTTAGGGTAAGTACTGGGGCCATATCTAGACCTATCCTTAGGGTAAGTACTGGGGCCATATCTAGACCTATCCTTAGGGTAAGTACTTGGGCAAGTTATGGGGCCATACCTAGACATAACCTTAGGGTAAGTACTGGGGCCATATCTAGACCTATCCTTAGGGTAAGTACTGGGGCCATATCTAGACCTATCCTTAGGGTAAGTACTGGGGCCATATCTAGACCCATCCTTAGGGTAAGTACTGGGGCCATACCTAGACATAACCTTAGGGTAAGTACTGGGGCCATACCTAGACCTATCCTTAGGGTAAGTACTGGGGCCATACCTAGACATAACCTTAGGGTAAGTACTGGGGCCATATCTAGACCCATCCTTAGGGTAAGTACTTGGGCCATACCTAGACCTATCCTTAGGGTAAGTACTGGGGCCATATCTAGACCTATCCTTAGGGTAAGTACTTGGGCCATACCTAGACATAACCTTAGGGTAAGTTCTGGGGCCATACCCAGACATATCCTTAGGGTAAGTACTTGGGCCATACCTAGACCTAACCTTAGGGTGAGTACTGGGGGCATACCTAGACATAACCTTAGGGTAAATACTGGGGCCATACCCAGACCTAACCATAGGGTAAGTACTGGGGCCATACCTAGACATAACCTTAGGGTAAGTACTGGGGCCATATCTAGACCAATCCTTAGGGTAAGTACTGGGGCCATATCTAGACCTATCCTTAGGGTAAGTACTTGGGCCATACCTAGACATAACCTTAGGGTAAGTTCTGGGGCCATACCCAGACATAACCTTAGGGTAAGTACTGGGGTCATACAAAGGCCTAACCTTAGGGTGAGTACTGGGGCCATACCAAGACCTATCCTTAGGGTGAGTACTGGGGCCATACCAAGACATAACCTGAGGGTAAGTACTGGGGCCATACCAAGACTTAACCTTAGGGTGAGTACTGGGGCCATACCTAGACATATCCTTAGGGTGAGTACTGGGGCCATACCTAGACATAACCTTAGGGTGAGTACTGGGGCCATACCTAGACATAACCTGAGGATAAGTACTGGGGCCATACCAAGACCTAACCTTAGGGTGAGTACTGGGGCCATACCTAGACATAACCTGAGGGTAAGTACTGGGGCCATACCTAGACATAACCTGAGGGTAAGTACTGGGGCCATACCTAGACATAACCTGAGGATAAGTACTGGGGCCATACCAAGACCTATCCTTAGGGTAAGTACTGGGGCCATACCTAGACATAACCTGAGGGTTAGTACTGGGGCCATACCAAGACCTAACCTTAGGATAAGTACTGTGGCCCACTACTAAGACAATGTCCAGGCATAGCCTTGGAGTACCTTTGTTAGACACAAATCTCACCTTATAAATTTGACCACTACACATGTAGCAGACATTCTCCTTTATCAAACATTTTTGTTCTTTTGCTTATTTCATTGAGCTACATATATTTATATACAATGTATTCAATGATCTGACACCATTATTTGTACAGGCTGGTGACTATGTGTTGGTACGGGTCCTGTTGGACAAAGCAGGGGGTGAGTGTTATGTACCTGGTATTGTACAGGTGCCCCCAGCCAGGAATGAAGCCCAGGCCAAGTTCTACACTGTACTCATGTATAATGGCCAACAGGTGAGTAAAATTCTCAAGAAGAGGGAGTAAGTGATGGACGTTTCCTGATAAATATTTAAATCATTTTCAAATCTAGATAACCGAAGGGAGATAACAACCTTGTCAGCGATGTCAAGGGGAGACAACTTTTAGGGGAGATATATGTAACATGTTTGTAATTTCTGTGAAATAGAAACTGTTCTTGCTATCAAGGGGTATAATCAACTTATGAAATTAAACAAAATAACCTATTTTTAAGTATTCTGTGTGATTGTTTCAAACAAAAATGTTTCTGACAGGCGACCACTTTGAGAAAACACCTTATGAAGATCAGCAAATCAAGGTTTGAGTTTGCTATCAAATACATTGCAGAAGTTCAGAACCAGGACAGAAAGAGGTAAGTATCAAAGACTTTTAATTTTATAAGAAAGAGTTGATTTAAAGTAAGAAAATCAACACACTCAAAGGTATAGATACAGGACAAACGTCACACACTCAAAGGTATAGATACAGGACAAACGTCACACACTCAAAGGTATAGATACAGGACAAATGTCACACACTCAAAGGTATAGATACAGGACAAATGTCACACACTCAAAGGTATAGATACAGGACAAATGTCACACACTCAAAGGTATAGATACAGGACAAACGTCACACACTCAAAGGTATAGATACAGGACAAATGTCACACACTCAAAGGTATAGATACAGGACAAATGTCACACACTCAAAGGTATAGATACAGGACAAATGTCACACACTCAAAGGTATAGATACAGGACAAACGTCACACACTCAAAGGTATAGATACAGGACAAACGTCACACACTCAAAGGTATAGATACAGGACAAACGTCACACACTCAAAGGTATAGATACAGGACAAACGTCACACACTCAAAGGTATAGATACACACTCAAAGGTATACAGGACAAACGTCACACACTCAAAGGTATAGATACAGGACAAACGTCACACACTCAAAGGTATAGATACAGGACAAACGTCACACACTCAAAGGTATAGATACAGGACAAACGTCACACACTCAAAGGTATAGATACAGGACAAACGTCACACACTCAAACTAACAGGATTATTTACAGCAAAAGAAGTATTTATTTATAAAATATTTTTATATTTTGAGTTTAAGTATATTTGGGAAAAAAATCAACATTTACAATTAGAAAATAAGTAGGTAAAACTATTAAAAGTTTGTAAAATTAATTGATCATTGTTTATTTCAGAATAGAAGAAAAGGTTTATGTGACTCCGAGACGAGAGAAAGAAGACAGAAGTAGTCGCAAACGACACAGGTATTGCATTAACCATATTGTATTTTTCTTACGATATGTTGAGAACTGGTCACTCCACAGAAGGCGAAAGAATATCTGCAGGGTGTTATGTTTCAAAAGTCAGAGAGTCGGAGTCCTGCTATATAAAGTTATTTTCTATATCTGACATTTTTCATTTCATATTTTAGATAGATATATGTTGTTTTTGATAGTTTGGTGTGAACATTATGAAAGAACACATATCTATATAATAATTTTGATGTGTAATACAGTCAATAGATTTCTTTTAATTTTTCTTGAAAAGAAAGAAACTGATATCCCTTTTACAAATGAGTTATTATTCATCTTTTTCATGTTTTCAGAAATAAAGGTAAAGAAAACAGAAGAAAAGAAAGATCTGCATCCAGCTCCAAAAGTAGGTCACCCACACCTGACAAGAAAGAGTATCTAGCTGCTGACAGACCTACAAACCCAACTCCGGATAGTTATCGTCACCAGGTCAAGCAGGACCTTCTCACTCCTCAATCTCAATTGTCCGCGGCAAGCTCCCCAGTTTTCAGTCAAAAAAATACATCAAGATCAAATTCAAGGTCACCACCAAGGCGAAGGTCGAGGTCACCATCTTATTCACGCTCCAGGTCACGCTCAAGCTCACGCTCAAGGTCACGTTCAAAGTCCAGGTCACCTTCACCTGTCAGGTCTCGGTCACCTACTCCAATTAAGGATAGGTCTAGGTCACGATCGAAGTCAAGGTCAAGGTCAAGGTCAAGATCCAGTTCCAGTTCAAGTTCAAGTTCAAGTTCAAGTTCTGAGTCTTCAATAAAACAAACAGAGATGCAGAGGTCAAGATCAAAGTCACCAGATTCAATACACCGCAAGAGAAGCAAAGAACGGCTGCGAAAAAAATCACAGAAACTGAAGGCTCTTAAAAAGCAATTACAAGATCAACAAAAGGCCCACGCAGAACAGCAGGAGGTCAGTAGACAGTATACTTAATTTGTTACTATTTTTAGGATAATATTGTGAGTGTCGAATGTCTGAGAGTGCATCATTATTGGCAAGGCTCATTTGCTCCAGTAAGGAATCAGTGATAATGGCACTGTTATTTGAGAAGTGAATAATTGTTTTAATGTATTGTGATGTAACAGGATTAACCTGTTGCTTTCCACCATCCATAATATCATTATAGAATTGTTTCTATCTGGAAATCAACCTCTGATCAGTGCGGTATTTATAAAACCAGCATGAAATTTGATTTTAATATTCAATTGTTTTCTTGCACACTAACAAATATTTTCAATTTGATAGGAAATTCATAAACAATCAAAGATGCTGAAAAAATTGAAGAAAAAGCTGAAAAAGTCTAAGAAAAATGGAACAGTTCAAGGCCCCTACTCCACAAAATCACAGGTGAATTGATGTTCCTTGTATCATGACTGTAGTCTACAGGTGAATTGATGTTCCTTGTATCATGACTGTGTAGTCTACAGGTGAATTGATGTTCCTCGTATCATGACTGTGTGTAGTCTACAGGTGAATTGATGTTCCTTGTATCATGATTATGTAGTCTACAGGTGAATTGATGTTCCTTGTATCATGACTGTGTAGTCTACAGGTGAATTGATGTTCCTTGTATCATGACTGTGTGTAGTCTACAGGTGAATTGATGTTCCTTGTATCATGACTGTGTATAGTCTACAGGTGAATGGATGTTCCTTGTATCATGACTGTGTGTAGTCTACAGGTGAATTGATGTTCCTTGTATAATGACTGTGTAGTCTACAGGTGAATTGATGTTCCTTTGTAGTCTACAGGTGAATTGATGCTCCTTGTATCATGACTGTGTGTAGTCTACAGGTGAATTGATGTTCCTTGTATCATGACTGTGTATAGTCTACAGGTGAATTGATGTTCCTTGTATCATGACTGTGTGTAGTCTACAGGTGAATTGATGTTCCTTGTATCATGACTGTGTGTAGTCTACAGGTGAATTGATGTTCCTTGTATCATGACTGTGTGTAGTCTACAGGTGAATTGATGTTCCTTGTATCATGACTGTGTATAGTCTACAGGTGAATTGATGTTCCTTGTATCATGACTGTGTGTAGTCTACAGGTGAGTTGATGTTCCTTGTATCATGACTGTGTGTAGTCTACAGGTGAATTGATGTTCCTTGTATCATGACTGTGTGTAGTCTACAGGTGAATGGATGTTCCTTGTATCATGACTGTGTATAGTCTACAGGTGAATTGATGTTCCTTGTATCATGACTGTGTAGTCTACAGGTGAATGTATGTTCCTTGTATCATGACTGTGTGTAGTCTACAGGTGAATTGATGTTCCTTGTATCATGACTGTGTAGTCTACAGGTGAATTGATGTTCCTTGTATCATGACTGTGTATATTCTACAGGTGAATTGATGTTCCTTGTATCATGACTGTGTGTAGTCTACAGGTGAATTGATGTTCCTTGTATCATGACTGTGTATAGTCTACAGGTGAATTGATGTTCCTTGTATCATGACTGTGTGTAGTCTACAGGTGAATTGATGTTCCTTGTATCATGACTGTGTAGTCTACAGGTGAATTGATGTTCCTTGTATCATGACTGTGTATAGTCTACAGGTGAATTGATGTTCCTTGTATCATGACTGTGTAGTCTACAGGTGAATTGATGTTCCTTGTATCATGACTGTGTGTAGTCTACAGGTGAATTGATGTTCCTTGTATCATGACTGTGTAGTCTACAGGTGAATGGATGTTCCTTGTATCATGACTGTGTGTAGTCTACAGGTGAATTGATGTTCCTTGTATCATGACTGTGTGTAGTCTACAGGTGAATTGATGTTCCTTGTATCATGACTGTGTATAGTCTACAGGTGAATTGATGTTCCTTGTATCATGACTGTGTGTAGTCTACAGGTGAATTGATGTTCCTTGTATCATGACTGTGTGTAGTCTACAGGTGAATTGATGTTCCTTGTATCATGACTGTGTGTAGTCTACAGGTGAATTGATGTTCATTGTATCATGACTGTGTAGTCTACAGGTGAATTGATGTTCCTTGTATCATGACTGTGTGTAGTCTACAGGTGAATTGATGTTCCTTGTATCATGACTGTGTAGTCTACAGGTGAATGGATGTTCCTTGTATCATGACTGTGTGTAGTCTACAGGTGAATTGATGTTCCTTGTATCATGACTGTGTGTAGTCTACAGGTGAATTGATGTTCCTTTTTTTCTGAATTAACGTTCTGTACCTTTTAATCTGTAATCTGCCCAGTTTTATTAAGAAATAAACAGTATTACTTTTTCTCCAGGTCATCGAAGTGGAACGAAGCGAGGATTTTGATTCTGATGATGAAAAGAAGTCAAGTAACACAGGTAGATTATCTTTTGAATTATTTTTGAAGTAAATAATCTGAAGATAAATTTTAAGATTGGAGTGATCTTTATACCTGGCACATTTACATGGAATAATGTTATTGTAAAATACATGTATCTACAGCAAAACCCCTTTTTCTATTGTTTGTTTGCTGGATTTATCAGCCTGTAAATCGCCATAGTGGGATCTACTTGAAGTAATTGGTGGTTACATTACTGAACAACATACAGGAGGCACGTTACATGCCATAGGACAATTAAGGTAAATTGTCTGTCCCATGGACACAGCTACCTCAGCACAGACCTGTTTCTCAGCTTCCTGAGAAATACAAACAGCTAGGGGAAAGCAGCATCAAACTACACAACTCTGAACTTCACCTGGGGTTTCTGTACATAGGTCAACATTCGTACCAACTGAGCTTTCGTAGCCCGTTTTTTAATATATCCAGATGATAGTATCTCTGTATAAGTGCCCTATTTAAGTAAAGTATTAAGTAGGTCATTTGACTGAAATATTATTTCTAAAACCAAAATTTTAAAACATTTTAACTTAGACATAGCTGTTAATCTCTCACCTGTATTCCAGGTAAGGTCAAGGTGAAGTCTGGGCTGCTGGAACTGAGGAAATCTCTCCCGGTGTTGAGGGAAGGAGAGGAGGTTCTTGCTCGCTGGTCGGACGAAGGCTGGTATTTCAGAGGTAAGATTTGTACATCAATCTCCTACAGTTTGGTATATCACATCATAGAAATATTGAAAATGTTTTGGGAGTTGAACACCATTCAGAAGAGAGACACTCGAGTTCCTATTTTCTGATGTTTTACATTAATGATCTAAGAGATTCTTTTCTAATTTGTACTTTCAAAACTTCACCTGATTTATCCAACACAAAGAACATATTCAGGTTTATTGTTTTAGGGTTTTTACTTTAATTGTCACAAATAAAATTTTTGACACGGCTTTCCAAACCCACGTAAAATTAGACATAGAATTGTAAAGTGTAATGAACTAAATTTAAATAGCCTTACTCATCTGTTTGCCTTTCTAAGACTTCTCAGTGTTGTTAAGGGACTTGTCAGTGATGCTAAGGGACTTGTCAGTGTTGCTAAGGGACTTGTCAGTGTTGCTAAGGGACTTGTCAGTGTTGCTAAGGGCCGAAATTGTTGGCAATCCACATAACACCTTGTGCCAAAACAAAAGAGTTCAATATTCAAGGATTTGTATCATACATATTTAAAATTGAAAAGATTTTAATAAAAAAAAGATGAAGAGAAATAACAGGTGTGTATTAATTACAGGTATAGTCCAGCAGGACTGTGGAGACCTAAGCTACATCATTGAGGACAGTACGCGGATGTGTGAGAAGATCTGGAGAGAGGATATCATTACAGATTACGATGACGCCAATCAGATCATACAGGTAAATAAAGGCTACCTCACCATAATATCTGATGATATAGATTCTGTATCGTTATGTTTATCTGACACCATACAAGTTCAGTTTAGAAATCTTCTTCTTCAGCTCTGTATATACAAAATCTTCACACCATACACATTGTGACACTGTTCTGTAATTTTATCCCCCTAGCCTAAGGATGCTGTGGTAGCTCTCCACCCCAACTACAATTTCAGCTACGCCCCAGGCATCGTCCTTGAGGTGTATCAAGATTTACATATGAAAATTCGATTTTACGATGGTGAGGAGTCAACCCTGCCACGCGAGGAGATCTATAAACTCACAAATGAAAAGTTTGAGCATGACGTGAACTATATCATCGAATGTGAGACTAGATGGGTTGGACAGGCGGTGGTCGGGCGCAATGACGAGAACGGAACATATCATTTTGGTGAGTATCTTTCTTTCATATCAAAACAGTCTATCAGATACATTGGGAATATCAGCAAATACATTGAAAAAATTAGTACTGCACTACGTAATTAATTTGAAGATGTGAAAAAATTGCACTGTTGAGTTTTGGTGTATGGATTAAATTCTAGAATTTTGATATTCTACCAGTCCTCATGTTTGAATGAGTTTTTGGCACATCTTCTGAAATCTTATATTTTATGTGTAAGGTAGAGTGTTTAATAAGAAAATTGTAAAGAAATCTGGCCCCATAAATACAGAAAGGAAATGATTAGTACAATGTACTAAGTAACATACTTACCGGTATGTATTTTATTTCGTGGTGTAGAAGAAAAGTTTGTATTATTCTCCACAGCATCTGTGAAGGAGCGTGTAGGTAATGGCCGTGAGTACAATTTGGAGTGGTGTGATGGTACGCTCTCACGTCAGAAATCCATCAATATATTCGGAACGTTCACCAAACATCATCCTCTGGCAGTTGGTGATCATGTGTTGGCAATGGTGGACAATCACCAACATGTTTACCTCCCTGGCTGGGTCGCAGGTATCGTTGGCGACAAAGTCAACGTCAAATTCTGCAACGGTGTCATGTAAGTAAATCAGGGGGTTCTGATGATTTAATTAAAAATTTTCATTATCATATGATATAAGATATTCAGTCAAGTGGATATTTTTTTTTCTAATTTTCATAATCAGACCCTAGCAGATATTTCACTCTGTACAAAGTACCTACCAAACAATATTAACGAAAATAGATTTCCTACATCATTTAGATTGGACAACTTTGAAAATAATCATTATTGATAAAACACTATCTGTTTATTGATAATTTCGATATTTTCTGTTAAGTGGATGCTCATCTGTACATGATTGAATTTAATTTGCAGACAAAACGTAGAGGATGTTCTTCAATGTTTCTGGTTAAGTAGTCGTTACTATGACTACGCTAAGGAATACTACCTACAGCGTAACCCTGACATCCCATTACCACCACAATGAGATGTAAAGGATTGAGAAATATAAGGACAGACATAGGGTTTAGCTTCGCCATATTACCAAAAACACTTTTTTGTACATATACTGTGATAGATAGATCCACCACTGAAAATTAGAGAGAAAAAGTCTATAAGCATTCCTTTATATCTATATGATATCTGAAATACTTACGTTCCTTGCCAGATGTAAGGACTATGAAGAATATATAAACATGGTTTGCTTTACGCCTAGCAATATAGTTTAATTCTATGTATGTACCTCACAGACCTTATCCTTGGCAAGCTTTTAGTAAGGTCTGCATTGTAATAAATATATTGTATGTCTTACTTGTATACATTTTTATAAAAAAATTTTACAAAGGATATCATTTACAGAGATATGTGTGTGAATCAAACATAATAACTGTGATAACATTTCAACAACCTGGATTTTCTGTGTGGTACACCAGGGACTTCATTTTGCTTTTTATTCGTAAGAGAATCCATACGTAGCCTTATAATGATTCTATGTAAGATAGACTTTGCTTGCAAATACAAAAGTATTATGTAAAAAGATTTGTGCTTTATTAATAGTAATATTTACTATGTATGTAAGTATTTGTAGCAGTATCAGATATTTATAGCTGATTTAATTATCAATTTTAGAGAGATAAATGAACAAGTTACATTTGAAACTCTTTATTAATTAATTAATCAATTAAATATCAGTTAAGTTACTTGTGTATTACATTTAGAAAGATGTAAATTTGATTTAATATTATAGATTTTTTTTGGAAATGATTATCAATAGATATATTAAACATATTTTATTAGATAAGTGTGATTTAATCTATTATTCAGATCTTGTTTTTACCAGACAACAGTATAATGACTTTTTATGCTAGTTTGTAGATCAGTGATATTGCAACTGAAAGCTTGTTGATTCAAGCTGACCATTATTTGCAAGGACTTTGGAAAGGACGGTCAGTCTCTGTCGACATCATGAAATCTAAATGTGATTTGTTTAGTTGCTGAAAATGTTTGAAGTGTCACGTTCCGTAGGTGGGTCGTTAATTATATCAGGTACAACAAATTTAGACGTATTATTGATAAATAGAAATGAAATTTTCATAAATTGTTAAAATCATGATGATATTTTGCAGAAATTATGAGAAAATAAAAATTTTGGCACAGTATTAAGAGATAACTACAAAATATTCATTTGTGTATGAAATCATTGATTCACATGTACAGTGAAGAATATTTTATAAATGTTAGTGAATATTGTAATACTATAATAAATTATTGTTGCTATTGTTCTGTTATGTCAATCAACTTTCAACGATTCTATTTTTATACAAGTACGTGGTACATATTTTCCTATTCTACTAATCTTTGTATGTGAATTTTACTTGAATATGACTAAAATGAATGTGTGATAAAGATCCGAGGTTGTGTGTAAATTACGTAGGTGTATTTTATGTCTGCTTGTGAAGTGTGGTGATGGAACTTTTCTCAGTAAATTTCATCAAAATCATTCTCTTAATTTTAATAATAATCAGTCAAGATTTATTTTCTCAATTTCACAGCTGAATAAAATTTAACACATTTAATGATAAGTATTTAAATTTCATTTTAGTGGTAGTATCATCTTTGTTCTTTTCAAACAAAATTGAAAACACAAAATAAATAAAACCATGTTAGATATAGATTTAACTTATTCCTAAATATTGACACAAAGTGCTACACCAGGAGAACTCTAACTACTGATGCTGAGAATTGTATGATAATCTATTTAAGTCTAAGAAAGCTCTTTACAAGTGCAAATCTTCAAAATAATTAGGTATGTCGTTTAGAATTTCATAAATCTTGTGTGTGGCTGCTGTAATCAAGTGGTCAAGGCGTCTGACTGCCTTTATCACTAGCTGTCCACTTCTGTGTTGTGAGTTTGAGACCTACATCGGGCGGTCACCAGGTTTTGGCCACAGATGGAATAGTTTTTCTCCAGGAACTCCAATTTCCTCCTCCACCCATACCTTGAATGTCCTTCAATCACCCTGACTGATAATAGGACGTAGAGCAATAATAAATTCTCCTTAAACTTGTACGACATGAAAATAGAAATTGTGTTTATTATGTAACTGATATTGACTTTTAATCAGTATCTTAAAATGCTAGATTTGTTACGTCACTTTGTAATTAGAACTGATGGATACTAGACATGAGAGTGTGTCATGATTCAAGTTGAAACACTGGGAACAGTTATTATCGTGCATCATTTTTAAAACTTTTTGTTCACTAAAATTTCTGTATTGTTACTTCCAATATTTTTCAGTTTTATGCATCAAACATAAACAAATTATTTTTTTTATTTGGCAGTATTACCTTTTAAGAATGAAATATAAACCATATATAAAAATTAGATTAATTCTATGGGAGTATATCTTGACAATAAGTTATAAAGCCAGGTTAATGACTTTAACATACCTGACTTGTTTGATTCTTGAAATACTGATATTGAAATCATATATTTCTGAAAACTGCCAGCTTTTACATGTCATCCATATATTTGTAAAGTTCTGAATCTCTTCAACATGGATTTTTTTCCAAATTTCAAACATATTGTCTCTCCATTATTGTGGCTTATTAGTAACTATTGTATCATATCAATTGAGCTAATAATCATCACAATTAGGAACTTTGTATCATTTTTTTATTATAATTTGCTTAAATATTATCAATAACATTATTTCTAACAGGGTTTAATCTGTTTAAGATTTCAATTTTTGAAAAAAAAATCAGAATAAAAAATCAGCATTGATTGATATGTTTGATAATGTCTGTGTTTAACCTTTGAGGTACAGATAAATAAGGTTATATGAAAAACTCCAGTGTGTAATTAAGTGGAATTAAACATGGTGCAGTCCGACCACCTTCACATAGCTACCTTTGTTAAGAATAGCTTTATACTTGTTTAAGAAAGTCCTAAAGCATTTTTTATTAAAAAAATAAAGAAATATTTGTCACGATATTTGTAATCTCCCCAGATTTATTAGTGATATGAAACATATTCGGGTCCCAGCATTTTTAAAACACAACACCAATAGGTTTGTCACTGTTGTTTTCACATTTTGAACCATTAAAAACTCCTATGGGTTTAAGGTCTTTACAAAACTCTGTAAGTTAAAAGACCAGGAATCTTGGGTATTGGGCATAAAGAACCATTTGATAGATGTTTGTTTCTTTATAAACATTGATAATGGTGGCATGCTAGTTAGTTATACATCTTTATTAGCAATTTTATTTAACAGGCTCATTTTTAAAGACGTCAGTATTCTGAACAAAAAGGGGAGGTAAGCAGTAGACATGGGGAAAACAACACTAAAATATGTATCAATTTTTTTTTTTTAAATCTAAAAATAGAAATAAAAAAAAACATGCAGAGTTTAAAGATAATGTGGAGTGTCCAGATATGAAATTGTCACAAGCTTTGTTCAGTTTTTGGCTTAAAGATTATTTTGAAATATCACAAATGAATCAATATCCTAAATTTCTTATTCATCTCTTGGAAGAGATGCTTTTGAATATCACAGCTATGGGTTTAATGAGCATCAAACATTTCCTGAGTGAAACTTTCTACTAAATCTAAGTTAGAAATGGGAACTATAGAACATCATTTATAATTTTAAATAAATTTTAAAAAATCACCCTAGGGTGACATCTCATTTTACATACTTCTCTATATATAACATAACTTATTTAAATCTAAGGTGAAAAGATTAGCGAAGTACATATTAGAATAATTAATGGGTTTCACTAGTTTTTACTGTAGTTGTAAAGCTGATTTATGATACAATAGACTTCAGGCCCAAGCTGTTCCAAGCTAGGCAACCTTTTACTAATGGTTAGTGAGAAAACTAATTTATTGCCACAAAAAAACAGAATTCTGAAGAAATATTCATATTCAAAAATATCATTCTGACCTTTCTCAACAAATCTTAAGCTGACTGATAAAGATTGTTCCCAATTTTTTGTAATAATTTGTATTTGAAATTTTTACTAACCACTGGTTAGTTAGTTTTAACCAAGTTTTCAGCAACTTGGGCCTGATTGTTTACAGTGTATGTCTCTTGTTTCTGTATCTACTGCTGCTGCTTGTTAACTAAAAAATAAAATATTGTCCTTTACTGGAAACAATATATTCTTAGTTATATATCAATATTCCACAAAAGTTGATCATTTTAAAAATGGATCATCTGATGCTGAAAATGTTGTGAAATCTTGATTGGTAAGTGAATAAAGACACAAGAGAATATACATATTTTGTTATAAGTACCTGTCAGGAAGCAAAGTGATCTCAGGTACTCGCAAAACATTTCCGACAGCTGATGGAAAGAGGATGAAGATATTGGTCAGTGGCATGCTGGAATGAAGTGTTATTTTTGTTGACATAAATGACCTTGACCCACTTTCTTTGTCACAGGAATCTGATATGTTTCAAGGAATCAAGTCCCATTTAGTCCACAAATGCTAGAAAGTATCACTGTATTTAATCTCGCTAAAACAAATGACATTAACTTAATTCAAATTTGTATTTGAGTAAGTTAAAGCATTTACAATAAGCTATTTCTCTCAGGAAACATTTAATTAGGTCAAGGTCATGTATTTCAAAAAGAAAACCTCAGCATTTAATTACTTTAGTAGCTGCAGATAGTTTTACTCTTGATCTGTATAATCATTTGTCAAAGTTGTTGGATGTTAACTTATTTGTAAGTGCAACACTGTCATTCATACAGAACAGGGTCTCTCATTAATTGTTGACATATTTGGCTCATTAAAAAAATTATTTGACCTTGACCTTGCCACCTTTTAAGAGAACCCATGGGCAGCTGACTGACCAGCACCAACTTAAGGCATTCCCCAGTCAATACTGTCTGGTGTAGCATGGTATTGTGAAGTATGGGGAAATGAACCGGGGTCAAAATACAATAATGGTAAAATGAGCTGCGGTTCTCTTCACCGTTA